ACCCTTAATTGCAGTTATTTAGGCCTAAGAGAAATAGTTGTTCCATCGTTTCAATTTCTTTCATTTACAAAATCAATTATTGATAATTTTTTGAATATGAATGGAAAATAAAATTTTAAACTACTTTTTCTGGATTTTATATTTTAATTCAAATATAATACCGATAATCTAACAGATTTTTTTTGGTAATTATTACACAGTTTTTTATAGTTAAGAATTACCAAAATATATCTTTGTTAGCAATTCGAGTGTCAGGAAAAAAATATATGAAAGGGACACAGGCGTCTGATCTACGTCAAAGGTTTACAAAAAAGATGCATTTCGGAAGGAATCTAATTTATGACTCTAAATATTTTTCTTTTTAAGAAACTGAGCTAAAAAATTATTTGTACATGATTGTAAAGTATTCTGAATGTTTTAATCAAACATTAACTTGCGTGCATTTTAAAACTTTTTTTTCTCTTTATTTTGCTGCAAAGCTATCGAATCAAAGTATATCTATAACATTATTTCAGTAAATCGCAATGAGAGAGAACTTGAGGTGAACCGGGTTCGAATCTCAGCGATGGCTGGTCGATACGAATTCCCTACCCGGCTCGCACCGACCACAGTGATGACGTAAAATATCCTCAGTGGTAGACGGATCATGGGTTAGAGTCCCGTTGACGTCAGGCTAACCGTGAGAGGTTTACGTGGTTTTCCTCTCCATGTAAAGCAAATGCGGATTATCTCCCTCAAAAAGTCCGCCTCGAAGGAAAAATTTCTCCCAATACTTGATCCAGCAGTTCCCTTGTCTTCTGGATTGGGTTCAAAATTACAAGGCTACGGACTTGAACATGGGCAGTCGCAAACTCAAAAAATTGGGTCAGGTGTTCAGTGACGGTTCTAAAGTAAAATAAGAAAGAACTATTCCTCTTAATATTATTCATTATTGTGACATGATATAGCAAAATCGATATCAGAGATACATTCATAAACAACTTTCAATATTTCAAATAAAAAAAAATTTAAATTCAACAGATCAAAAGCGAGACAGTGAATGGCTATTGTGACACTCATATCATAACAGCTGTTGTAGAAGACAAAAAGAAAGATTCTCTGCTTAGAAGGGGAGGGGGAGAGTCATTCATTAAGAAAGTTTGTTAGAGAGAGATAGGTGGTACAGAGCAGTTATTTTTAAACTGAAAACAAAGATTCTATGGACATCGGAGGGCGGGTAAGGACTCAAACTGTTGAGAGAGAGAATATTTTACTTGGAGAGACCCTTTATTAAGAATGTTTCTTCAATATCAGGACATGGGCGAGGAATATCACACTTTTTTAACCGTGGGAGGTAAAAAAACAAAAGCGTTGTTATAACAGGATTTTAAGAGGACGTTATACGCGGGAAGAATGGCAAATTTTGTTCTACCTACATAAGGGCCCGCTCTAAGGACTTCAAATTATTATCCAGTAAAATAGCCAAACATCAAAAGTATTCGTCAATTTTCGAAAGTCTTCGCCAAATACAAATCTTAAAAATTTTTTATGATAGATTTTTTTCCCCCGTGGAATTATTTAACGGGGTTTAATATGTATTTTACGATAGTTTCAGGCTTCAATTTTTTGGACCCAATTCTAATGGGTTATGCTGCGCATCTACCGAAAATTACTGTAATTGAATAAAAAATATTGATTTGTTTAAAAAAATTCATTTTGAGGATTGAGTTATATATCAATTTTCTTTCCAGTGGAAAAAAATCATTCGCCAATACTTTTGCCAAAACACAATTTCATTCGCCAAATTTACGATTTTATCGAATTTGGCGAGCTGGAGAATGCTTAGCGCGGGCCCTGCTATATAAATAATTTAAAATTTATAGTATGAAAAAAGTGAGTTCACGTCAACTTAGAATTAAACCATGAAATTTTAAATCCTGAAAAAAATTTCAAATTACCAATACGCAAACAATTACTCAGAATAATACACTGGGGAAGATATCCTGCAATAATTTGTTTGCATTTTCATATTTTAAAAATATTTTTTCACCATTTCAAACTTCATGATTTATATGAACTCACTTTTCTCAAAACTTGCTATGAAAATTTTATAGAACTTATAATTTTATAGTTTTATAATATAGAACGTAGTATAACGTCCTCTTCAGTAAACTCTCAATCAATGTTAAAATATATTAAAAAATTTAAAAATTAAAAAGAAAATCAAAGGAATAAAATATAATTGTATCCACATCTTAATAAAAATAAAATCCTACAAAAATGAGTTAATTTTACAAAAATTAAAAGACACGAGCTTTAAGTTTAAATAGTCTTTAAATATATATATATATTTTTTTTCATTATTTCTAAATATTAATATTCGGATGTCAAGAAACTTGCTGTGCGCTAAACAAAACCACCTTATTAATTTTCCACCAAGTGATCAGATTTTCATGTAAGTTTGAACCTCTTAGTGTTAATTTTGCTTATTTCGCCAAAACTATTCAGCACGCAGCTATAAAACTCGTTTACACAAACATATTTGCAGGCAAAAAAAATAATTATTTATAATCAGGTATTACTTTTTAATTTAATATTGACTGGAAAAAAAACTATCACCTGCCGTAAAATGTTATACATCATTTAAAACAAGTTGTTGTTTCTAATGTCACTTGCCAATATCAGCAAGCCTGCTTGGTGAAACCAAGCAAATTTAAGACAGAAACTGCGATTTTCAGTGGAACCATTGATGGCCCAGAATACGATTTCAGCAACACACTCGTCACAAACAGTTTAAAGGGTGGACCCATTCATACATCCATTCATTCCACCACAGATCGTAATTTTGACCTGAACCGGAAAATGATCCATCTTCAATTAAGTACCCCCAAAGGTATTGATTTGTTATGGGAACATGGAGGAACTTGTGACCGGGCAGCTTTAACGTGCACCAGTCACCATTTACTACACAGAGAGTCTTCGGTCGGAGGGGATCGAACTCACGACCTCCTGGACATGGGCCCAACACCCTACCAACTGTCATTTCAAATCACAGATCAAAAATTTTAGTTTGAAAGTAAAAAAAAAAGTTTCTGATTTATAAATTGTCAAAAAGTGATGTTTGAAAATTTTCATTTCTTAAGGCTCCAAATTTTGTCCCCATTCGACTGCGATTTTGTCCTTTCTTTTTTTTTCTTCTAATTTACCTACTTTAAAATTATGCAAAACATTTATATACCATACAATGTACAATTTAACCACTCTATTATAATGAAAAAAAAGGGAGAAATTACTACACTAATTAAGTCTCAGACTGAAAGAAAAGATAGTAGCAGGTTCGAACCCAAAAACCACTGAAGATCCTGAGTGCTTTCAAGTCAAAAGCAACTTTAAAAATAACTTTGATACTATACTTTTACAATAATACAGATTAATAAAAAACACCAAATTTTTTCCTACCATAAATAAATTTTTATAAATATGCTAAAAATTTATTTTTTCCTAAGAAATGATAAATAATGCAATGCTAAATTAATTGTAAACTTTGCGTATTGAATGTGCAGATGGAAAAAATGATGATGAGTTTTTGTAAAGTATTTTAAAAAGATCACTGGGAAATTTATTTACTGTTCAGTGAAAAAATAATACCAGAGAAATGTTTGTGTCAAAGGTAAAACACTTTTTAAAGATTATTTAAAGATAAATATTTGGAAACCACAACACTTTTTGGACACCAACTGTGAACTGAGTGAAATCAAAGGTGGTTAGAGAGTCATTTGAAGGAAAAAAATATTAAAATTATCATAATTTGCGCTGAGGTTTTGAATGAAACGATATATATTTCAACTGCACGGCATGTTAACAATTTTAGTAGCAATATTTGGTTCTAAGAGAAATTAGAAAGGGGCCATTCAAAATTTTTCATAAGAATGTTTTTTGAAATTTCGGAAATTGTCAGTAAAAATAAGCTAACTGGAACCACCCTCTTATGACTGTAAAAGAAAGTCCCATCTCCCTACCACGTTTTTTGCTTTTACTTTGACTTTTGGAGTCTTAGAATTAAATTTAAATAAAAATGCAACTTTGCATTTAATTAAAATTTAAGCTTTAATACATATTAAAAATTTTGAATAAAATATTCTTTAGGAATATTCAGTGTTTTCCTTCGGCGATAAAAACTCCTTAACATGACCTCTTAAAATCCTTAAAGAAATCGTTTACGAAACTTTATCTTATCCCATATTTAATTTTTATTTCAAATATAAACATTTTTATTAAATTTTTGAAGTTGAATATTTTTCCTCATTCTATTATATCTTTCTGTAATATGATTAAATTTAATAATCGAAAACTGTAAACAACTAAATAGTCTTTGTCCAACTATAATTTCTCCTTTAGAATCAAATTAAATAATATGTTTTTAAAAATAAAAAAAAACTATCATTCAAATTCCTTTCGAATAATTGTAATTGTTTGGTCAGCACATGAGGAAGGAAATTAAATGCGCCCTTATTCTTTCTTGGTTGTGTTAATTTCAATTATCAGATATAAAAAATAATTGTATTTATGCTAACAAAAACACAAAAAACGTTCCTGAAAGCATTATATCTTGTATTGTCAAATAAAGTTAATCAATTTTATCACATTATTTCAAAGTGTTAATGAGATAAGCCACGACAAATGTCACACCCCACCCTGCAAAAAAAAAAAAATAAATAAATAATGCTTGCACGAATTGAAACTATACAAAAATATTTTCAGTACAATTCAAATATTATTCTTTCAATTTCATCAGTCAAGTATTCAATCTTTCTTTCAAATATTATTCTTTAAATATTTTCTCAATTTCGATAATATTTGATGTTTTTTTTATAACGGATTTAAATACTCATTATTTATTTAAATTTTTTCAAATGTTTTTACTTCGCATTTCTTTAATTCCAAATTAAAAGGACAATGTCACACTTTTACGCCAAATAAAAAAACATATACAAGTAAGTAAAAATAAACAAATGACTCACCACTTATAAAGTTCCAAATAAAACCTAATATCACTAAAATAGACATTCTGTAATCTAATTTGCACATTTTCAAACACCGAGATGCATTAACATCCTTCAGTTTTTGTTTTGTAGTGAGATTTTCGAACACGTGGATGACTGGAAAACCGCACACAAACTCAACCCAATTCGTCAAAATAATTATTTTTCGCGCGATCTGTGAATAAATACAAATAATATAAAAATCCCCGCTGCTTTGATTAAGAAGCGCAAACACAAATTTCAAGCACTAAATTAACTATTGCCATTTATCTCCAACAAAATTAACGATTTTAAACAACTTTCTTTCAGAATATTTATTTCACAGCTTGAAATGGAAACTAAACGACGTTGCGCGCTTAGGCAGACTTCTATCTCAGAAGTAACAAGGTTTTTTTCTCAATGCGGCCTTGATTAACCCTGTTTTGAGGCTCTTTTCTGCTCTCTTCTGATTGGATGAGAGAGTCATACGTCATCAGGTGTAGAACACTTTTTGGAGGTATTTTATTTTGAAAAAAATTATCCACGAACCGGCTATGGATGAAGTTGCCTGTTTTGTCCGTTGTTATTTTACCTGTATAGATTGCTGTGTGAGCATTGTGTTCACAATTCTTAATTTTATTAGAGCTTATCGCTTTAAAAAATATTCTATCCATCTTGAATTGACAAAGGAATATCTCATGGATTTATCCGCTCTGAATTGTTGGAATTTATGGAATCGAATACAAATTGTGATATGAAAAAATCTCGCTTATTTGGTGTTGACTAAATCTTTGAGATATATCTTAAAAAATATTTTCAATTATCGGGTTTACGATGTTGAAAAAAGTATTCTCAAAAAATATCGTGATATAATGTTTTACAAAAATTGAATGGAAGAAAATTATCTATACCGATAAATATATAATGATCTATACCGATGAATACAATAATGTCACAAGTGTTATTAATAGTGGTAAATAACGAATGTAGTACATTAACGGCAAAGATAAATAACGAATGCGATACAATCGAGATCATCATTGGTAATGATAAATATCGAATACGATTATCGATAATGATAAATATCGAATGTATTTTATTCGGGATCATTGATGAATACGATAATGACGCAAGTTTATGTTAATATTGATAAATATCGAATGTGTTGCAAGCATGATTCTTATTGACAACGATCAATATCAAATACGGTAACATTTCGAGAATTTCTCAAAGTAATATTAATTATCGAATATGATATTTTAATGTTTGTAAATTTCATTAAGGTAACGTAAATATTGATCGATGTAAAGTTAATGATAATTTCCTGAATTATAAAAATATCGGAATATATTGCAAAATATTTATATTTTCAAACAAAATATCGTATTCCTGAAGTTTCGCTTTCACCCAGAACTAGCATCGACTTAAAAAATGTTGAGGAAGTGAAGTTTTGTAGAGATTTAGGAAATACGACTGGGCATTTCCTACAGGAAACAATACTTTCGAACAATTTGGCTTTAAAATGGCTATTTTTAATATTTTTCCTTCATTATGTTCGAAAAATATTAGAATTAGAACAATTTTTTCATGACGTAAAGGATATGGGAAAAGTAATTCATAAAATGAACCTAAAAGGAGAAAATGTTTACTAAAAGAACACTGCGTAGAAAATATTCACAGTTTTCTTATGGTCCAACTTGTCATTATACTACTAATTTTTTTAATGGTTATGAAGTTTATTATTTTTCAAAACCAAAGATAAGATCACCTGATCTCAAACTCTGAAGAAGGCTGTGGCCCATCCTGATCTGCCCAACCCCTGAAGAAGTCAGGTTGTTATTAAGTAAAATGTTCCCATAATTTTACTAATTCACAAACTGAAAAGCAACAGAAAGACCTTTTTAACATAAACCTAAAATTTATCTAAATTTAAATAGAAATATTTTCGAGGAGAAAGGAAGTATATAAAAACTATTATTGGGACTAAATAATAGTTTTTATATACTAATTAAACTATTGTTAGAATTTTTGTACATAAAAAGTATATAAAAATTCCGTATGGCAGTATAACGTCTGTGCTTATCACATTCAGTCAAGACGGGATTATTACAGCTTCATTATTATTACATTAATATGTCAGAATCATACAATTAGCGCAGAAAAAAGTGCGAATCAGTGAATAAGAAGATTTGTGCAATCTTTTCATTCGTGGAATCGATAAAAAAAAGATAATAAATATTCTTCAAACAATTGAATGAACAAATTAGTGAATCCATAAATTGGAAAATGAAGAAATAAACAAATCGAGGAATCAATAAATTAATAAATGCAAGAATTAGTTAGTTGAAAAATCAGTTTTTGCCACGAATCAGATATACAAGAAAAGAACGGCTTAACTTATCAGTGGAATAATATATCGGCTATTCAGTGTGTTAAAGAATCCAAAAATAAACCAAAAAGTCGACGAATCTTCAAATCATTGTATAAATGACTCAGTGAATCAAAGAATCAGCAAAATCACGAACGAGTCAAAGAAAAAAAAAACAGTTTAAAGATTCAATACAACACTATAATAGCAAATCCCAGAAACATCAAATAAAAGAATAAATTATTCATTTCCATCGTGCTGATTCACGTAATCGTTATCTAACTGCTATCTCGTTGATACATTAATTCGATGATTCAATGTTTACTGATTTGCTAATTCGCTCATTTATCGATTTGCTTGTAAAATGTATTCTACACCTAGAAATCACTATTAGGTGCAATTTAGTAACATGCGTGTATCCGGAATTCTCTAAAAATTTAAGTATATAGGCGAGGTATTTCATTTCAATACAAACTAGCCTTTCCAAACTTTCATAAAGCTATTCCCGCAACAACCATTTGTTGGCCTTGGGAATCGTCGAGGTTAAAGCTCCAAAATTTCAAGACCAATGAGCACCTGGCACCTTTTCGTTTATGAACGCGAAATTACAGATACTCATAAATATCTCTGAGTTACGAATGCTCCTAATCGTTACGTTTAAAAATGGATTTTGGTTATTTATAGAAGTATTTGTTATGGAAAAATTCATTTCACTAAATGAATCTTTTCCAGGATACTGAATATAATCTATGTATATAATAATCTATGTCAATCATAAAATGATGAAAATCAAAGCGTAGCAATACTCAAATTGTATGAAAAGAAATGCAATCGAAGTTATGTGTTCCTCTGAGTTTGTGGTAATATAAGTTCACGTGTGTGGTAATAAATGTCATTATGCAAAAACTTGTATAGAACTAATAATTCGAAAAAAATTTCGACTGTTATAAAATAAAATGATTATTAAAAAAAAATTCGCATAGAATAATCCTTATATAAAAAGGAATTTTATGTTTGTGTGCAAAAATGTTTCTATTGGCTTAAAAAGATTGTTACAGGTATCAAAATACGCAAAAAGTGAGTTTAACATTAAGGGGTTCAAACTTTTGACTACCCCAGATTGCTGCTAGCACAAATATTTCGAGGGTTAAAAATCCAAATTATACCTCTCAATCTCAATCATTGCGCCAAATCATTTTGTACCTTCTTAGTACAAAAATATATATTTGTACTGAGAAAGTAGGTTTATGTGTCTTGAATTGATTTTCTCAAATGTGCATGAGGTTAAATTGTGTACGAAATTGTTCTCAATTGTGCATAATTTTATTTTATGAGCGTCATTGTTCTAAAATGTGCATAATGTCAAATTATGTATATAAATTTTAGCAAATATGCACAATTCCAACTTTTGTTCGTCATTGTTTTAAACTGTGAATACTGACAAATTATGCTCGTCATTGTTTTAAACTGTGAATACTGACAAATTATGCTCGTCATTGTTCTCAACAGTGCCTAATGTCAAATTATATCTCAATTCAAATATATGTCAAATTATATTATCAATTCAATTATGTTTCAACAGTGCATAATGTCACAGTTCATAAAAATAGTTAATTTCACCGGGGGAACATATTTTTTTGTTGCGTTTATACAAATGTTTGATCTCGTCAAGTTCGGGTGAGGGAATTTTAAATCTGTTATAAGTTTTGCTTCTAAAGCAGCAGATTTTTTTTTTTTTTAAATAATAAGCTTAGTTTAGTTTTTGTCGAAATGTGCAAGTTGAAAAGCGTTATATATAACAGGGGGTCGCGTAAATGTTGAGACAAAGTTCAGGGGGAGTTAGGGATGAAATTGCATAAAAACCTATAATCAGAAATATCGTCGTACGCGACTGGAGGTGCAGACCTGTTCAGAAGCACGCGGAGAAACAGTTCATAATAGAAAAGTGGCCCAAGCAAAGTATGATGACATTTCTGGACATGATTTTTTACAGTTTTTATTCTGTGTGTCGCATCATTTACGCGAAACCTCTGTTATATAAAACGTTTTTAAACTTGTTTATTTTGTAAAAAAATAACTAAAAATATCATTTAGATAAACAGTAGCGTGGAGAGAAATACCCATTGTAGATTTGAAATCAGAAACATAAAATATTTATGATCCGTTAAAAAATTTTATGCAACATAAAACAAAGAAAAACAAAATTGTTCCTCAGTGTTATTGAAATAAATAAAAAATTTAAAAAAATAGAAAGAAAAAAAAACTTTTTTTTTCGAAATTTTTAAAGTGGGTTTTTTTTAGATTGCAGATAGTAACAAATTTGCACGATATTCAAACTTAACGTGAAGTCTATTTTTAAAAGTGCCGTTGATTATGAAAAATAATCATACTTACCCTATTATTTTATTAAACTACTTATTACTTCGAACCTCGCGTACTTTTCTGTAACACATCTTTAAAAGTTTTTTTTCCCTACCTTCGGGCCACCGTCAATTGATTAATGAAGTCTCCAAAAAAGTATGTTACACACTTCTAAAAAGAAAAAATAATTAAATAAACGGAGAGAGAAGTTGTGAGTGAAAAATTCTCTCTCTACTCCAATGACGACCAAAATGGTAACGAGACTACTTTTATTTTTTTTCTCTCTCCTCATTTTAGTAGCGTTTCTTCCCTCTCATTGTTGATGGGTCTCTAGGGTTCCTCAAGTGGAATTTTCAGGAATAGAGGAAATGCATCTTCAGATATAAGAAGTTGTCCTCAGATGAAATAGATCAGATGTCCCACAACTATTTATCAAAAATCAAGTACGACATTACAGGCCCCACTTATAAATGGCCGGGTGTCCAGAAAATGACCAGCGATTCGAAAATTCTATCCATAAAATAATGAGGGAGAAAAATATACGTTTGCAGTGTTTTGTTTAAGAAACAGATATTTTTTATCACAAATTTCAAAATTAGTAGTGAAGTACACCAAGAGATGGCTCTGATAACTGACACTGTTTTCTAAATAGCCATCTTTTGCAATAGAACAACATTGGGGTAAAATGAACAAACGTTTGT